GGGGGTTACACGTAGACTTGGGAACTGGTGGGGGGTGACAGTCTGAGGTGTGGTCATGTGGGGTGGGGGTCCAATCCAGCCATGGCATCTTGGGAAGCAGAGGTACAGGGAGTGAGTGGCCGTGGCAGAGATGGGACACCAAGGCCAGCTGCTACAGTGCGGTGACATGGAGGCCCTGGCCCCCAGCTGCCCTGGCGCTGTCGTCCCAGGCTGCACTGCCAGCAAAGGCGTGCAGGTCACTCAGCAGGGCCTCAGCACTGCCCCCTGCGCTTGCTGGTCCTGGGGAGCCAAGGACCAGGTCGCCCTCCGTGTCACTGTCTCTGGCTTCCTCAGCCCGCACGGGGACCTGCTCTGGGCTGGACGCCTCTCCACATAGCTGCTCGCCTTCCCCGGGGTCAGCCTGCAGGCCACCATCCGTGACGTGGTCATAGTCTGCGTCCTGCTCATCCTCCTGTCGCTCAAGATCATTGTCTGGGGACCCCAGCTCAGCTCGGGCCTGCAGCCAGCGGCCCGGGGGGCTGGCCCAGAGCAAGCGCCGGGTGCGGCCCCACAGCGCGGCACCCAGGCGGGCCGGGTGGTAGTAGCCCCCCGAGTCACGGCTGAGGCGGCGCCAGGCCAGTGCCAGGCCGGTGACCAGCAGCAAGAGCAGCAGCAGCAGCAGGACAACGGTGACAGAGCTGGAGCCCACGCTGTCCTCCGCGCTGCCACCCGAGCCCAAGGCCCCTGGCAGGGCCAGCAGCATCCCGAGCCCTAGGGTGCAGGGCAGAGCCTGTGGGAGACAGGCAGGGGCTCAGAGGGCTCAGCACCTGGGGTGGGGCCTAGTGCGGGTTAGGCTGGGTGATCAAGACCACTTTCCTTTTTTTCTCTTTGGGATCCTCTTGGGACAGCCAAGCAGAGAAGGCCAAGGCCTTATTTGGTCAACCAGGCTCTGGCCCTGTGAGATCAGCCCCCATTCGTCCAACCTCCTCCCTACCACTCGCCTCCCCCAACCGCTGCACAGAGCCACCTGCCTGGGGCCTTCGCACTGGCTGTTCCCTCTGCCCGGAAAGCTCCACCTCCTCCCACCCTCCCCTCCCCCAGGCTGCATGGCCTGCTCACTGTGCTCAAAGGTCACCCCAGTGAGGCTGAACCTGACCTTAACCTCTACCCTGATGTCTATCACTGCAGCCCACCCCAGCACCCCCTAGCACCCCCTAGCACTCAGCGCCTTTTTCCTCGCATGCCACCTAATCAAGAGATAATTGTACTCATTTTTTATGTCTATTATCTACCCCCCACAATAAGCTGCTAGGAGAAGGGGGCTTTTTGGGTCAAGCATGTTAGTAGGTAGTCAGCGTGGGTTAAACGTGTCTAGGCTGCCTGGGTGGGTGGGGGAGGAGATGGGAGGGAGGGAAAGAGGTTGCTAGTTGGTGTCAGGGCTAGCTCTCCCTGAGGCCTGGGATGGAGGATGGAGGATGGAGGATGGAGGGGCCTGGACCCACCCCGAGGCAACTGCTCATCTTCTGCTTGGCCAGGTCCCCAAGCAGGGGTCCGGGAGGCCCCTCTTCCTCCCTCCCCACCACGGGGCTGCCCCAGCTGCAGGGTTTCCGTTCCACTCCCAGTCCCTGAGGGCCCCAGGCGTGCAGGGCCGGGGGCTGGGGGAGGCGGGCGCAGCTGCCAGAGGAAGTCTGCGGTCAGAACAGGCTAGGTGGGGGGTGTCGGGGGAGGGGTGCTGAGGTGCAGCCAGCCTCCCCCAGCACCCCAGGCTGTCCACCCAGGTTCCAGGAATGCAAGTTCCCGCTCAGAGGAAGACCAGGTGAGGGCCTTCCCCGGGCTCCTGAGGGGGGCCTGGTCCAGTGTGGGGTGCCGGGGGCCATGCCCGGAGTCCCAGAGAGCCCAGCTCAGGTGAGAGAGAGGTCCAGCCTCTGCCATACTTCTCTTAGGTCTCACCTCTTCCCCGGAGCTAGTGTGGGGCCCTCCTCAGCTCCACCGGCCCAGACAGTCCAGCCCCGACCGCCTGTGGCCCCCATCCCAAGAACCCGGGGGTTCCGAGGCTCACCATTGGTCCACAGGCCCCTCCGCGCCGGGCACCCACCTCCAGCTCTGGCTGTGTTGAGCGAGAAGTGAGCTCAGTGCTCGTCTGCAGTGAAGGGTGGCCCGGGCTTCCGCTTCCTGCCCACATACCCCATCTGCCCCTCCCTGCTGCAGGACCCCTGGTCCACACCAGACCCTCCCCGGCCTTCCTGGAGGAGGCTGGGCTGCAGGGCCTGTCCTCCAAGGGAGAAGCAGCACCAACTTGAAGCTGGATGCAGCCTTGCATGTGTGCCCAGGTCCTCTGCCTCAGTTTCCCTGCCTGACAATCCAGGGGAGCAATGTCTATGGGGCTGCTCACTGCCCCTACACCGGCACATGGGTGACTCCTGCGACATCATCTGTCTCCAGGTTTCCAGACTTCTCAGCCCCACCCTTGCAGCGGCAGGTCAGCCCGGCTTTTAGAAAGAGAATTTTATTTGGAATGAAAATATAGAGCCCACCTTCCCGCCTCCTCTGGGGAGGGAGCAGAGGGCTGGGCAGTGGTCGGGGAGATGGTCCCTCAGAGGAGGAGGAGCTCGCCTGGGCATGGAAATCCTCCACAGGAACAGTGAAGAAAGCTGGGTGGTGGCTTCGGCCTCAGCCCGGGACAGGTCGGGGTGGGAACCGACCCCTGCGCTGCCTCGGAGGCCCTGGGCAGCCAGCCAGCCCGGTGCGACCCGCTGGCAGAAGCTGAGTGGGAAGGGGGCGGAGGAGGAGATGAAGGTGGCGCGTGGCTGTGGCCCTACGCATCCCCGTTCTCCATGCGGCCCAACTGCTCCTCCAGGCGGCAGATGCGCTCCCCCTGCTCCTTGACCAGCGCTCTCAGGGCCCGCAGCTCCTGCATCACCTCCTCCAGCTTCCCAGCCTCCTGTGGGGACATGAAGTGGGGGTAGGGCGTGGTGGTCAGAGGCTGCTAAGCCATAGCCCTCCCAAACCCACCACTACCCCAGCGAGGGAGAGCAAATGGCCCAGGCCCACACAGCAGGCCAGGGCCACAGGAGGGGCTCCCAGCATCACCCCTGCCTGTGGGTGCATACCCCGGCTCTGGTCAGGCTGCCGCTGGGAGTGGCATCAGCAGCAATGGTGGTGGCTGCAGGGGCCCCCAGGCGGGAGGAGCCCAGGGCCACGGCGGGCCGGCTGTCAGACAACACGTTGCGCCGGCTAATCTTCAGGTCCCGCTGCTTGCTGGGCACGTAGGCCTCCCGCAGCGAGATGAGGATCGGGTCAGCATCCCGCCCGCTCACCCACTCCTCAGCCTCCAGGGCTGCCTCGGGCCCGGCTGTGTCAGGGTACAGATCATCCTGGAAGAGGTCCGACTGGGCAGGGGGCCAGGACGTCAGGATCAGTTGGGAGGCCCCATAGGGTCCCCTCATCCCTGGGCCTCCAGGCTTGCACTCTGTTAACCCATTCTCCCATGGCCTGGCCCCAAGGGGCCTCTCGAAAGCTCCATTCTGGCCTTTCACTTCCCTTCTGGACGCCGCCAACAGCTCCCTCTGAAGCTTTCCCACCCTTCTGAGCAAGGCCCCTGTCACCACCTTCCCCTGCAGGCCACAGGGGCCACTGTGTGGCTTTGTGGGATTCTGGGGTCCATGGACTGTGAGCTCCTGGAGCAGGCCCTATCAGCTCAGCTCTCAGCTTCACTCCCCGAAATGTGCCTGGCATGTTGAAAGAGCAGTCGGCAAACGCTGGCCAGAGAATCATGGAAGCGTGTCCAAGGCTCTTGGTATCTGAGGCCAAGCCACATGTGGCCCGGTCCCCTCTTCATGGGATTCCCCACTGCGGCCAGACTCCGTGTTCCTCTCTCCATTCCCACCACCGTGCCCTTCGCCTGGCCTGCCCCCAGTGGATGGCGCCACCCTAGCTGTGCTATGGGTACTGCCTCCTTCAGGAAGATCTCTGGCTTCCACTCCCTCCCTGACTGCCTGGCATCCTTCTCCTGTGGCTCATCCAGGGCAGGGCCCCCACTCACCCTGTGTCTCATCCCCACTTGCCCCCTGAGTGGCACAGCCCAACAGCTGGCTGGTACAAGGGCAAGCTGGCATCTGTCCAGCTCACTGCCCACAAACCATACTAGGTCATGTTCCGTTCACAGGCCTTGCCCTAGTCACAATTGCATGGCCCGCCTGCTGGAGAAAGGGGCGAATGAGCAGAGGGACGGGTGGCCTCACCTTTCTTGGCACAGTCATGACGATGGGCTCACACTTGCGCTCGTGAAGTTTGTAGAACCTGGGGATGCGAGCAGCAGCCGTGGGTGGAACACCCGCCCCCCCACCGCCAGCTCTCCTGGCTCCCAGCATCCTTCACTTCCAGTCCTCACCCCAGGACCTCCACAGGCTGACCCCTAAGGCGGCTAGACCGCCACACAGGCTGCCTCGTGACAGTTCCCATGGCCCGCCGGGCCTCCCTGGCCCAAGGTTTCGGCCTGCTCCCGAGGAGCCTCCAGTGACCTGACCTCTTACCTTGGATGCCCCTGTCCCTGAGTGGCCTCGCTGGCCCTCTTACCGGGCAATCTCGCACTTGCTGACCTCCAGGCCCCGCTTGGGCATGCTGCCCATGCCCCGCTGGGGCTCCTTGCTGGTGAATGTGTTCAGGAAGTGGATGTAGGGGGGCTCCTCTGTGATCTCAAAGTACCGGATGCTGGAGTCGCCCTGTGTGGGGAGGGGGCTCAGCACCCGGGCATGCCTCTTCCCTGCCCCTCGCCAGCCCTGCCCAGCCCCACCTTGCCGCAGACGTAGACCACACTGGTGTCGGGGTCGTAGAAGGGCAGCAGGGCCCCGTTGCTCGAGTCCAGTTCCTGCAGGGCCATGGGTTCCTCGAGGTTTTCCTGGCACATTGGGGGCAGTCAGGCCAAGCAGAACCTCCTCGCCCCCTAATCCCAAACCAGGATGGGCCTTAGCTGGCCTCACTAAGGCCAGCCAGCACTGCCCCCTAAATGCAGGTGGGCCCTGTGCTGCCTCTATGCCTTTTCCCACATGACGACCCCCACCTGGCCCTCCTGGCTCCACTTTATTCCCAGGGTCCCTCTTTTCCAGCTTCCTCCAGGCCTTAAGACTATGCCCAGGCCACTGAACAAGTGCTGAAACATACCCCACCGTGGGGAGCCTGGGGTGCCAGCAGCACCAGCCCCAGATCAAGGGGCCCTGGAGGTCACTGTGCAGAAGCAGAAAGGGCTGGGGGAGAGGACGCTTCAGGGCAGGGCCGGGAGGCTTGCTGGAGGAGGAGGCTTGCTGGAGGAGTGGGGAGCCCTGCATAGGCAGTGGGTGGTACAGGCAACCAAGGGAGAGAAAGGTTCTTACGTTGGTATGAACATGGGCAAAGACACGGAGGCAGTGGGAGGCCATGGGGGAGTGGCGGGGCAGTTGGGCGAGCAGGGGGCAGGAGAGGAAAGGCTGACAGAGTCCCCAGCCCTGAGAGCCTCAAGTGCCAGGTAGAGAACCTAGGAACCACAGGCCTCTCCGGTGAACCATGCCTGCCTGGCCCAGGGCAGAGCGCTCCAGGGTGGGGCCCAAGTCTCAAGCTTGCCCCCTTAAGCTGGCCACTCACTGGGTCCCAGAGTGCCAGCTGCCGCTCACTCATTCGGCTGAAGCCCGTGGTGAACACCTTGCCATCTGCCAGGAAGATGGCTCGCATGGGCCGGGCCCCCTCATGAGCCTTCTCCCGCTCCTGTGGGGGGGACAGGCTGGTCAGTGCAGTGCCCTGCTCAAGGCCCTGGGCCTATTCACAGCCATCCTTGCCCTCTGAGGCCACATACTGCCATCAGGGTGCCCCGACGGGGGTCGATGATGCGCACGCTCTTGTCCTTGCACGCTGAGCAAAACAGGCTGCCGTTGTGGTTCCAGCTGACGTTGTAGATGAGGTCAGGGTGCAGGCTGTCCAGGCGGTACAGCTCCTCTGCTGTGCCCACGTTCCAGATGAGTACCACGTTGTCACAGCCTGGCAGGTGAGGGCTGTCAGCTCAGGCCAGGTGGGTGGCAGGAGGCCATTAGCTCACCAGGCCAAGGCCCACTCTGCCCACCACCCTGGGGCAGACTGGGTCTCTCCAACTCTGAGGGCCTCAGCTTTCCCATCTGTCAGGTGGGCCCTGGAGGGGCTGCTGGGGTGTATGGAGAGGTCCGTGGGGGGACAAAACGGGGGGCGGTGCAGACCTGCACTAAGCAGCACGTTTCGGGCCGTGGGGTGCCAGGCGATGATGCCCACTCGCTTGGTGTGCCCCTCCAGTACCACCACCGGCTCTGTCAGTGGGGAGGTCAGCCCATTCTCTGGGATCTGCCACACCTGTGGTAGGGACAGGGCCACCGGGCTCAGTCCTCTGATGGCCCTACTGCTGGCCCCCTTGAGTCACGCCCGAGACCCTGGCCCAGCCAGTCCTGTGCCTCACCATGACCGTGCAGTCCTCCGAGCCGCTGGCTATGACTTCGTCATTGTGGGGACACCAGTCGATGTCCAGGACAGGTCCTGTGTGCCCACACACCGTCGGGTAGGCCTTGTCAATGCGGCCCGTCTGTGGGCACGAGGGGGCAGTCAGGGGGCTTCATCCCTCCCGGAGTCTTGGTCTTCCCTTCCATGGAGTGGGAATGACGTGCAAGTCCTGGCTCACAGGTGGCCCAGATGTGACTGTGCCCCACTCGCCAGGTGAGCAGGAAATGTTTGCTGCCTCTAATCCTGACTCTATGGCAACAGGCCACTCTCTATCTGTGCTAACACTTGGGGCAATAAATGTGGGTTATAACGCCTGCCCACCAGTGTGAGAAATGGCAAGATGAGGGATTTGAGGTATGCAGAAAGGCCCAGCAGGGGTGGCCGAGGTGCCTCCTCTTCCCCCCAACCCTGACAGGACCCACCTTGCTTAGGGGCAGCACCAGAAAGGCACCCCCGCCACTGGCCTCCACAATCACTGCCAGGAACTTGGGGTTGACAGCGCAGAAGGTGCTGTCCCAGGTAACACGGGACACGCGAATGTCCTCATAGCACTGGTCGTTCTTGACCGGCTGCCCGAACACATGCCGGAATTTGCTCTGCCGGACCACTTTGCGGAAGGACATGTCTGCGGGACAGAGAGGCCGGGGTCAGCGCTGCGCAGCCGAACAACTCCAGCCCTCCCTAGGCTGCTGAAGGTGAGCCGAGAGGAGGCAACCGGGGGCCTGGCCACTGTAACCCTCCTGGGTCTCAGTTTCCCCAGTTACAGAATGGGGTCACAGGTGCAGAGCCTGGCCGCCTCTCACCCGGCAGGCAGTGATCTGAGGGGTAAATGCTCCGGCCCCGATCACCGCTGAGTGCTGAGGGGCTTTGCAGGACGCAGGGCCCCTCCCTGGCTCTGGTGTGTGTGCGGGGCAGGAGGTGGGAGGTGCCGGAGTTGGAGAGCTCTCAGCTCTGCTGTAGGTCCCAGCCAGTCGGGAGCAGCCTCCTTCCTGCCTAGAGATTTGGAGGCTGGGTAATGGGGAGGAAGGAGAGAGGAGGCAGGAAAAGTCTCTCTACTGTGGGGCCGAGTGAGGCCCCAGTTCTGAGTCCCAGGGAATGTCCAGGGAGCCCCGGCATGACCCCCAGGAAGAGACGGGGGTCGGGACGCAGCTGCCGGCCGCGAAGCAACCCAGAGCGGCCTCGGAGCGGGGTCCAGGGTGAACCAGGAGCCCAACTTCCAGGGACCCCCGCCCAGGAGAGGAGAGGATGGGCGGCCAAGGGGAGTAGGACTGAGAGTGGGCGCAAGGGAGGGGAAAGGCTCCTGGGACCCGCGATCCCCGCTCAGCCCCCGCAGCCCCG